GTTTAATGCAATTTTTGCCTATACAAATCTAGCAGTTTTGTGATTTATTTTAAATTTAGAAATTCTACAACTTTGCCATTTACATTTACAGAGGAAAAACAACTCTTAAAGGGTTTCGTAGCCAAACATATTTCTTCTTTTTAGCAGAAAACAGCAAAAAGTACCCAACAAAAATAGAATGTATTTTCTTCTGGATTTCCCATCAAAGTGGGCTTTTTGTATGAAGTATGAAGACAGTGCACATGAAATAAACCACTTAATTTTTCCATGATCTGAAGAAACAATTTAATTTCACTGCTGATTAGAAAAGAATGTTTAATTAGACTAATAATGGATATCGGGCTATGGTGAGAGGCGTGTATGTGTAGTTATGTGTATCCTTTCATTTAGCTATTTGTGGTTTGGACTAGCTCAACTTCTGTAAGAACAAGCTCAAATGTTCTTAGTTTTTGTAATACTCTCTGGTGAGCAGAGGATATGTTTTGTAGAAGGAATTAAAAGAAATAGTTTAATTACCTGTTGAAGCATTATTCAATTGAGCTCTTGGGGAAGAGTTATATCAGATGAATCATTGCTCTTTGGCTTGAATCTACCTAGAAATGTTGGCCTAGAATTACAATCCTTCTTTTTCTGCTTGGTGTATATGTGCAATTTGGTCACATTACAAAATAAAGGTCCTCAACCACAGGTTCCAAGAAGAAATGGAACTCTGGATGAGACAACACTTGGCAACAGAGAAGGAATTCCAGGAGAGCAGAATGGAAATACGAAATAGCGTGTTCTCAATGTGAGTTTTTAGAGGATTGGTTCTCCTCTGTAGCTGTTTCAGGTGAAAGTGAAACACCTTGGGCCTCAGGGTGCTGGTGACAATTAGGATATTCAATACCATCAGCAAGAGGCAATTCCACAAGCTGTATGCAACATATTGTTTTTCCTTCCTCAAAGGAAAGTTTCCAACAGATTGTAAAACATGAGGGCAGACTTTATGTCATCTCTAAATTTTTAAGAATATCCATTATACTTACTAATGACATCTTGGTTCAGATACAAAGCTAATTGAAATCAAGAACCTTTCTGTTATTTCCCATTGATGGCCATGTTCAGTAGAAGCAGCTTGAGCCATGACTGAATTTGAGTGTTCCTTTAAAACTGCATTAATTGCACTGCTTTATTGAACTAGCTGTATGAAATGTTTTTGACTGACCAGCATACTTAAGAAATTCCTTAGAAAGATCTGCTTTCTTTCTCCTTTGAGTGTTTTGATTCAAATCTCTGTCTACTTGTTTTATAATGTGTTATGTCTGCCTTGGGTTACATTATGAGCAGATGGAAGTATTTGTTTTAAAAACACATGAAAAGAAATTATCAGAAGCATATATTGTCAAAATCCACTGTTTCCTCTGGGTTTACATGCTAAAATATGCCATGAATATAATTTCTTTGTCAATAAGTCAGTTGTCTCATTAATGAGTCAATGACTCAAAGGAGTCAATGCTCTTCCAAGAAGACTGGAGAGATTGTTTCTGTACCAAGTTCTGAGCCTGCTCAGGGGAGAAGAGGCTCCAGACCTAGATGTGAGAACACAGAGTTACAGCAGGGAGCTGCAAGCCTGCAGCTCCAGCAGACAGTGTCAGACAATGAAAAGGAGAGATGAGACAACCAGGCCCAAGTGGCAGCAGAAGTTGGAAGAGTCTTGGAAAGAGGAGATGGTAATTTCACTGCTTACTTCAGTAAGACTGCAGTTTCATATCCCATTTTGTTCCCTCAGAGTATCCTAAAGTGTGGACGTGTGAATATATCAGACTTTACTGGTCCTTCTACTTCTGATCTCTCAGATGCTTTTTTTTTATCCAAAAGGAAATGAAAAATTACACACTTTGAACTGAATGAAAAAACAGGGCATCAGTGAAACTGTGTAATTCAATTAATTTCCTCTTAAATAATCAGATTTCATTGCTGAGAAGGAAAAAAATAAACATTGTTGGGATAATTAAGTGTTAAGTAGGAGAATGTGGCAAGTGGCATACACAAAAATAGTATTTTTATTTGTGTCTATTTACTATGCAACAGAAAACACTGACTCTAATTTATCACATCATTTAAGAAGGGACATTCATTAGTGGCAAGTTTGTAATTTTTTTATCCTAGAGTGGCAGCATGTACCTACTTGTGAGGAAATAACCTCTGCTCCCTTCTCAAAGTTCAGCCACAGCTCCTTGGTGCCTGCAGCAGCAGCAGCCAGGGCCAAGCAGAGACAAAGCTCTGGTGCCTCCAGGTCAGTGTGGCTACACATTGTCACAGGCTACTGGGTACTCTCCTCTAACGTGTTTCTATCCAATTTGGGGATGAATAAAGAGCTTTGATCATTGGCTTGGGACCCCTGAAATGACAGCAGCCAGGTCTCAGTGTGTATGACACAGCCTAAATGGTATTTTGTATACAGAATTTTGTATAAGAATTTAGGTCTATCAATGTATGCGTGGTCTAATAAGAAAGTAATGACTTCCTTGTATCAACTTAATCCTTGCTCACCACATCTACAATGCCATGCATGGTTTTCAGTGGTAAAGGTGTTGGTATGAAAAGTCTTTCGTTTCAAATTAACTATGAATGATACGTAGAAAAAGCCAAAAGCCTCACACTTCTTAATACTGAGCTAAGATTTAAGAAGTTTTTTGTTTATTTTCCTAGACTAAACCAGATTATTTCTCAAATCAGATATTTATGTAAGAAACACAATTTGTGAGAAGGGAATGTTTATGTGGAGGAGGAAAGCCATTAAAATAATTTCTGGCAGAATATTTGTAGGTGCAATGAGACTGATGTACTGTGGAAATTGTCAGGGAGGTGTGATTTTCATTTACAGACCATAATGAACTTTGGGCAGGGTTTTAAAAAGTCTGTGGTGCTTGGCAATCCTTTTGGTGGTAATCCTTTGGAAAAAATGCAGAAACAAATACAGGGGTTTTACAAATGGAATTTATGTTCATAGAATCAATGTATTACCTATGTGTGAAAAAATCTTATTCCTTCCTTTCCTTTTACCTTGATGTGTATTGATAGAGCCCCAAGGCAGCAGAAGTGTATTTCAAATTTGGGTAGCTGTGGCAGACAATGCAGTGAGCTGGTGCAAGGTGTCAGGATGATGAAGCAGCAATTCACAGTGCTTCATTTGCAGAGTAGGAAGAAAGGAGGAATGCTGGAATGAGTTATAAGTGGGGGCAAAGGATCCCTGTAGTCATAGATCATCAGCCAAATGCAATGTCATGGGATGAATACCACCCTGAGTCCTCAGCAGTATCACTTATGTGCTTATGTCTGTCCTTTGTGACCTGTGGGAACATTCCACTATCTTCAGTAACCTTGCAAAAAATCTCATTTAAATAGAAATTGCACAAAGGACCACTAGGGCACTAAGTTAATATATGTCTAAAAATCCATATGTTATAGTAACTATGATGCTATTATCAGGTGGCAATACTTATATGGTTTAGGATGTTCCTTGAGATCATAATGCCTTCCACTGCCATAACTGTTACATGCAAAACAGAGAGGAAAAAAGGTTTAATTTTAATTTGCTTTCTTTGACAGTAAGGAAAAGTATGGGTCTTAACAACCTAGGTTTAAATCAGTTATTGTCCATTTTCTGGTGAAGACACAGAACAAGTCAGTAGAGCAAGTCAATAATTTGAAGTAATCAAGTAGCAATTATTGTTTCTTCTCTGAGACATTGCTGAAGAGGTGAATACTGACTTGCAAATAGACTTGCCACTGTCTCTTTTTACTTTTTCAGAATCTGTTTTTATTGAGCAGCTTTGATGATATCTTTAGGAAAGGAATGTGATGAGATATTCATTTCCCTCCTTCCAATTTTCTGCTGCAGATTATTTTGCTTTGGAAAGCTAATCATAATCAGTCCAATGGAAGAGTTTTTTCATTCAAACTTATTTTTTACATTAATTTATGATATTTTAACATAGTACATTTTTGCACCTGATTCATAATTTCCTTCAGTAAAGATAATAGGTTTTGAAAAAAAGTTGAGTTTTCAGATGGATAATGTGCATTGCTTTCACTTTTTGATTTCAATGGTGAAGCAGCACCTGTAGCTGAAACTTCTGGGATACAGCATAAACTGCAAGACACAGAATGGGTTAGAACTAAGACCAGTGGTGTTTCAAATTTGCTGTGCCTACTTTCATCTATCATATTATTTAGATCTGAAATTATCTTCTGCCTGAACACTAAATACTCAGAGCAGTGGGAACTACAAAGTGTAGCTAAAAGCCTCTAAAAAGTTTCTGTTGCTTCTTCTGCCAAAAAAACCCCAAAACAATCCCACAAAAAAGCAAAAGCAAACAACCCCCTGAAAACAATAACAACAACAAAACAAAACACAAATGAAAATGAAAATTAAAAAAACCCCAAACATCCCTGCACCCCACCCCTTGCCATTACTTAGGACTCCCCATTTTTTTTCCATAAGTCAGTACTGTAAAATTCAGTTCCTAGCAATATTGTGCTTGCCCTCTCTACTGCAGTATTGGTCAAACTCAGTTTTAACTCAAAGAATTTAGACTGAAAATTTTGTTGAAGGTTAGCACTAGGATGTGCTAGAGCCAGAAAAAAAAAATAAAATTCTAGGCTTTGTTTTCAAAACTTGCTTGGGTGAATTTGGCTATGAATATTGCACACTATTTAAGCCTGTTGATGTGCTGTTAATGGAGCTCCCACACTGAGGGAATCACTAGGCTTCCTTCTCACAGCACTGCATTGCAGAGCTGTGAGGATAAATACTTGTGGATAGTGATTTGCAAGTGCTATTAAATAGACATGTTCTACACCACAGTTGCCATGCACTTCTAAACTGCCTTAGATTCACAATACCCATTCTATGAATTTCATATTCATCTTGGAAACACTTCTGAAAGCTCTGCTGTAACAATGGGATCATCATAAACAGGACAGTACTAATAGCTGAGACTGAGCAATTGCATACAGCTCTTTAGGTTTCCAGGCCCCTCTCTCTGCTTGGTTTAAGGAAGGTAGACATGGGAGACATCTGTGTGATCTGTCTCGAAATTCACCTCTGACATTGTGTGAAAACTGTGTCAGTGTGAGAGAGAATTCATGAAGAACACAATGGGTTTATCAAACCTGTTATAATTGAACCTGTCCTGTCTTCAGCAATAATCAAATGTGGTATTTTGGGCTGTAATTGTAGGATTAAGAGGTAAGCTTCTGAATGTGTGGGAAAATTCTAGTAGTAAATCCCATTTTGATTTCATGAGATTTATATGAAAAGATGTAGTGTGAGAAACAATTGTAACTGACGACTCACCATAGATGGAATAATTTTCAGCTTTGAAAATACACTGTTTTAGTAGTAGTATGTGTTACTAGTATATAACTGCAATTAAAATAATCATCTGACTCAGGAAATACTAGATATGTAGCATAAAAATCAAAGGGCCAGCATATGACAAATCTGGGATTGATGAATAAATAACCTGAAGGGAACTATAAATAAATTCTATTAATTTGAAATTAAGTAGTTGAAAAATAAGTAGGTCTATAAATATTTGAAATTTTCATGCACTTAAGTTATTATTGCAATAACAGTTGCAAAAAATGAGGGTCACATAATAGAGGCAGATTGATGTAGCACCTTCTACCCTCTGTGGATCTGAGCTGTTTGGGTATTTCTACAACAAGCAAAAGTTGAAATATCACAGTCTTAGGGCCCAGGGTACTGAGGTAAACCAAGACCACCCTCTGGGTTTCTGAAATACACCAGGCTGTAATTTGTGGTTATTCAGCAGCTGCCACAGAAATAGTTTCACTTTCCTTACAGGAAGCTGGGGCAGGACTGCAGGATTGCCACCTCAATGCAAGCTCCTCAGTCATGAATCAGAGCCCAAGGTATTTTCAAAAGCTAGAATTTAGCCAATTATCCCCATTTACTCTTCTCTCTTGACTAGTTTTATCAAGTTCTGTGAACTGATTAATCTACTCAGTCATTAAATGAGTGAACCAGCAGATTCATGGGCTGTTCTGCATTGAAGACCACTAAAGGTGGTAAAAGTTTCTACCTTTGGAGCTGAAGGTAATCAGGTGTCACTGCATCTCCTCATTGATGGGGAAACTGGAATCATGGCAGCTAAATTAGTTCACAGAAATCCCTAAAACTGAGCTGGGATAGAGTTCTCTCAGAAGGATTACATAATGTGCCTCCAGAATTAGTTCCCATTCAAGAACTTGGAATATTCTTCACTTAGAGGCTCTGAGTTGCTATAGAGCTCCTAACTGGAGGAATACACTTGGTGTGGGCAGCTCAGGGTGCAGCTGCAATGGGAGCTGCAGGTTGAGCTCTGGGTGGTGGGAGCCCACTACAGGAGTCCTTTGCTGGTCTTTTGCATGACAGAGGCTTTGGGGACCTGGTGGGGACCACTCAGGGGCACAGCAGGAACTGAAGATCCCAGACTTTTGTGCACTTAGACTGTGAGGGAATAAAAGCTCAGGCGTTCCTTTTTTGGGGTCCCTCCTTGGAGGCACCAGCTCAAGCTGTTGTTTTGTGATTTAATTATTACACCAAGATTAAACCATTTGAAGGATCTGCGTGTCTGTGACTGCTATGGGAAACCTGGGGTATGGAAACCTGCTCTGACTGAGTGTGGGCATGCAGCTGCAAAGGGGCTTTGGTCCCAGCTCAGGTTGTGGGAGCTGGACTGCAAGAATGGCTCCTGGATGGTCAGAGAGAGAGAGAGGTTTCCTTAACACTACTGATATTTAACTTTTCCCTGGAAGTGTTTGGAGCAATAGCTAAATAATTTTTACGGAATTGTAAAAAAGTATAAAGTTAGTTATATGATTGTTTCTAACTGATGGAATTTAGGGATTGCTTGTTCTCAGGTTTCAAAGTATTCTTGTGAAGTGTGTGGTATCATGTACACAAAACGTGCCCCTACCTCAGCTGAATACTTTTGAGCTGAAATTTTTTTTTGTTTTGTTTCTTTTTACTGGTAGGAATTCATTTCTATAAACTGTCCAGCTGGTATGTCAGGGAGAAAAGAAATGAAATACTGAGATATGTGAAACTATACTTCACAGAGCTGAGATCACATATTCTAAACCAAAATCAGGATTAAACCACTTTATTGAAAACTTAACAACACATAATTAACAACCAGCAAACTATATATTAAGAATCAATATCAGATAAACCACAAAAATAGACACAAAATGTTAACAAATGCCCACAAATTTGAAACACCTTTGTAACTAATCCTACCCTCGGTGATGGGCTCAGACCCCCTTCCCCCAGGAGCTCCCCACCCTCCCTGAGCGATGTGTGTCGCCCCTCCAGGTCTGGGTGCCCACTTGGTGCACCCCAAGATCTCACTCTCTCGGTTGGGTTGTGACTGCTCATCATGGCTGATGACGAAGATGCTCTGTGAGGCCTTGACAGAGGCTGTGCCACTTCTGTGACAACTTGTAGCACCATCAAAACATGTTTTGGCCACCTCTGTGTCTCCCCTCTCTTACAAGTTTGTGCTTCAAGAATTCTTTTCAGGCTGGCTTCTTTGTTTCAGAAGTCTCTGTAGTTTCTCAATTATTTAATCCAGCTGATGATTCTCTTTCACTGTAACATGAACTATGTGGGGCAAATGTCCTCCCAGGTAGTTTTGTGTAATATCAGTCACTCACACTGTTTACTCTTGCACTTCTGTCATTGAGAGTGTTATTCAGGACACCTTTGTCAAAGGTGGACCATGGGAGCACCCACATATTATGCAGTTGAAAATAAACATTTACAGTAAGTGTTTTCAAAGCTTTTGGTTAATTTTCAGCTGTGGGTGGATGGAAACATTGGTGTTGAAAATGTCAATTCAGATGTTGAAAGACAAATGTGACTGCTTTGGTAATTCTCACCCTTGTCATAATTTTGTCATGCACTTGCCCATGCTTGTCTGCCCTTTGGCACAGTTCATCTTTCTGCCCTTAATAGAACAGAACCATATTGAAAAATCAACAATAGATCTAAGTGGCTTTGTGTGTCCTTGATAATAAATACATATATAGGACTCCCTTCATAATTATTATGCTAACTCTTATATAACATTGTTCTTTATATTTATATTTATATTTATATTTATATTTATATTTATATTTATATTTATATTTATATTTATATTTATATTTATCTTTATATCTTTTTATAATATATATAAAATTTATATTTTACAGTGTGTTGGGGCACTTCAAGTCTTGCACTGTGCTCACTGTTGGGCTGTTGATAAGATGAATTATGCTGCATTCTTTTGCTTACATGGATTAATGAACACTGTTTTCTGTTGTAAAGGACATTTGCTCTCTGTACTATCTTTACTGTGTCTGCTTTGTAGTGATATTTTGAAAGAGCTTCAAAACTGAATCTTACATATGTGTTCAGACATATGTGTTATGGTGATATAATAGGTTGTTTTTTTACCTCTGAATTCCTCTTAAATCACCTTTGGCTTAGCAAAAGCAGAGAAGGATGTTTAAGGTCAAGTTAACTTTGCACTTTTGTTTTACAAGTTTATTTCTATGTAAAAGTTAAATGGTAAATAGGAAAGAACAAGTAGAAATCATGAGAACATTGCTTTCTTCCTCACTTACCTGCAGTGAGCACTTTAAAGGATATATATATATAGATGAACAGAGATTCCATTTCTGTATTTTTTTATCTCCAAGCCTTTACTGCACTACCTAGAGTAGAATTTAGGTGTTATTTGCAGTGTCAGTAGTCTGTAGGAGTGAGCAAACTTCTCATGTTTAGCACAGGGCTAAGTACATTCAACACTTGTGACAATGTTATAGCTAAAAGTATTACAGGACTTGATGAAAGTAATTTGCAGTGTTTTGGTTGAAGAATGAAAAATTGCACCTGCAAAGACATAGGCTCCAAATTCTTGTGGAGAGCAAAACATAGTCATTGTCTCCACAATCCAGGACAGCAATCCTTTCTTTCCTCTATAGCCAAAGAAGCAGAAAATAAGAGGAATGTATTTGTGCTACAAAAGTAATTGAAGTACCTTGGTATTAAAGAAAACTGCTCTTTCCAGTCCTGTCAGAAGAGGGAATAATGAACAAGGTAAGTACTTTTTCCTTTTCCTTCATGGCTGGCATTTTGCAGCAGTGTGTATATCATTGACAGAGACTTGATTACGGTACCAAAGAAGATTCACACATTCTAGCAGGAATGATAACTTTCTGGCTTCTGGAGGCCAGTCATTATTATTGCTGTGTATTTCTTGTTTTACTTTAGGTAAAGCTGCTGATATCTTTCTACCTCTTTCTTACTCTGTAAAATGGATTTTACAATATGTCCTTTGTCTTTTTCTGTTATAAACTCATATACCTGTATAGGTGGGCTGTTGGGTTTGGCTTCTAATTTTTATTTTAGTGTAAATTACATTAAAAATCCAGGAGGAAAGGAACAATCTTTTTTACTTCCAGAAAATTTAGTGCAGTGGGTCTCTATGCATCACTGCCCAACACTGGGCTCATTATAAAGTCTTTTCTATACAAAGTAGCTTATCTTTAACAAGTAAATCCACTGAAGTTCACAGAGTACGTGCATGATTGCAGCAGGTATTAAAAGCTGAGGTAGATAATACATCTAAAAATGGTAATGCAAGGGACAAAGCTCAAAACACTATTTCAACCCTCATACTGCAATTGCAGTTGATACAGGATATTTGTCACAGCAACAAATACTGACAAAGATACAATTTCCTAATTTTCTTCTTTTATAAAAATGTGATCAATGACAGCTAACTATCACAGCTGCAAAAGTTTCCATGAGCTACAACATCTCCTCAGACATTATGGAGAAGAGTAAATACAGTAAATAGTAATCTGAGCAGGACATGGATAACTGAGAAAAGCATCTTTTAAGCATTGCATGGGCCAAGGGGGTGTTACATAGATTTTACTATTACATGTACACCTGTAATCCAGTACTGCATTCTGTGTATCTATAATTCTTGTTCAGAATCTCCACAATCATGGATTAATAGAATAGTTTGGGTTGGAATGGACCTTTTGAGGTGATTATCTTCTACCACACATATTCATTGACTTACAGGTGTTCCTTTTGCTAAAAGCCATGAAAAGGGAATAGCATGTGTCAAAATAATTTCATTTAGATTAACACTTCTAGCCCTGCAGCTGAACTATGTGGTGAGTCTTGTTGAGGGAAATGTTTCGCCACCAATACAAACAAAAAAAACAAACCCAAAGCTGATTTGGTTAAACTTCTGCTTAGGGTAAATACTGGAATATTCAAACAACATCAAAATTCTCTATTTTAACATTTTGAAATGTATTTTTATGTTCTTTATTTTTGGTATTAGATATTAACAATCCCATGTAAACACAAGGTTTCTTATTGCTTCAAGAGTTCTGAAGACTTCAGTCTTCACTTACAGTTTGAATGAATATGTATTTTTAAATCTCACTTTTTTAGTGAAACTGCCATTTTTCCCTTTGTACATTTCTAGTTACACTCCTCTAGAGGCTATAAAGCGCAGAGTGGTTCTTGATTATACTGTTTGAAACAGTGCTTAATTTGTATACAGAGATCTGCAAATGTAACAGTTTGAGCCCCAGTAACTACTGAAATGAAACAACTCTTTCTTCTTGCTGTTTTTGTTCTTGTTAGCGAACCTCCTTTACTTTGATCATTACTTTTTCTATGACCATGTGGTAGCTTTCTCTGATCCATTTTTTGCTCTGTGCTTTTTATGTACTTCCTGATTGTACTATAACCATAGCAATTTGCTCCAGAGTAAACAGAACATGTACAAGCAATTTATATTTTGTAGGCACTGAAATTCAAGGCCAGTCCAAAGACAATGTCAGATGCGAGCAATGTATTCAAGACAAAACTGTGAATCATTGCAACTGGATGAATGGCCCATTTTCAGAGCTCACCACTCTTTTCTTCCCTGCTATTATTGCTCTGGAGATGTGGGACATATTTTGGATGATGGTATTTATTCCAAAGCCTCATCTCCCTGTTCAGGATGGAGTCTGAATTTCAATTCTGATACACTGCTGACACTAGAAACAGATGGCTATGAAGCCACTGGAGTAAAATAGCTGCTGAGAGAGGTTAGCTGAGTTTGTGTCTTGTGTCTTGAAAACAGAAATGTCAAGAGCCAAGGAGATTTATATCTGTTTCCCAAACTGAAAGGATCTAGTAATCTTGCATCACTTATTTTGATTACAATCTACATTTTAAAGCCATTTAAACAATTTCTTCTCTAAGTAACAGTCTGGAAGAGGTGAAAACCTGATGCCTTGTGTCTTATGACAATCAATACATCCTCAGGCTTTTCAGAATGGTTTGAAGCTAAAAGCTCTGACTTAAGTCTAATTTGTATCAGGAAAAGGAATGTGATGTCATTTCAATATAGATCGTGATAAACGTTGGGAATTCAGCAATATAAATAACACAGCAACTAAACTGGAGGTCAGGGACTCAAAAACCTTAATTTATACCATAAATCTTTGTAAACTCCTGCTGGAAAATTGTACTATCCTCAATATTTATTTATTTAATCATTTGTTGATAAAGGAATGAGGATGTATTTGGAACACACAGGGCAAAACTCATTTCCTGGGACAGAATGGTACTGGGAATTTATTCCAGGGCAATAATTATTTTTCAGACCTATCTGTGGGCCTCACCTACTATCAAGATTTCAAAACTTAAGAAAGAAAGTATAATAAGAAGGAGCCTCTCCCTCAAAAAAATGCGTGTCCTACAGAAAAAGAGAGAGTCCAGTTAGGATACTCCAATCTCAGCCTCAGTCTCCCACGGAAACAAAGCAGTCAGCATCCCATAGGAGACCTTGCTAGCTAAGAAACCTGCAGCTGATGGTCTTGCCAGTCAGCACAGTTTAATGAAGAACAGAGTGGATTATGTAAAGGGAGAGGATTCTTTGTAAATGGATGTGCTGTCTGGAGGTTTTCAATTGCTCATGTTCATTATCATATTCAGGTTATCTGGCTGAATTTTGGTGAAAGAGTTAAATAATCAAGAGATCTATAAATTCTGCAACTGCCCCATTTTGGCAGAGTTCTATGTCACTCTATTTCCCACCTGATCTTAATTATAGCTCTGGTTATTCTTTCATGACACCACTACAAATAAAAAAAGTTAGGCTGTGCCTCAGTGGAAATTCATTGAGGTTCTTCCTGTATTTGTCTCTGTTGAAATGAGTATGCAAACTGGATTTAAATGAAGTTCCAAAAAATGTCTGGATGTGCTCCCAAGTACTTCCAAATCTCCACTGTTCACTGCTGTCCCTATAGCCAGAGTTCAAATAACACACCTACCCTGGTTATTTCCTTCTTGCTGGCATGTGCTTACTGAACTTATGTTGCCATATATTAAATAAAGCCCTCCAAAACTCTGAAATGGAAATAAAAATGGTTAAAAGCAAAATGAACAGTGATTTCAAGTATAAAAGAATCCAGCAGCCACTGTATTAATTCCCAAGGAACATACTGTTTTTCTACAAGTAATTACAGTCAAGTAGTGGTAAATGCACAGCCTTGTTTCATACAGTCATGCCTTTAACAAGGTTATTCCTCTCCTTTATCTTTATTTAACACAGCCTTTGTGTTCTCATGTATGGTTTGATGCAAAACCAATGTACTCTTTAATAGCTTTTGGAGGAAATTTCTTTAACAGGTATCCACAGAAACAGTTGTGGAATCAACATATTTGCATTTCAATTCAACTCTGTTTAACTGGCTCAAAATGAGGTTGACTGTCCCACAGTTTGTATCTCTGTAGAAAGACTATTATAATTGCTTCTTTGGGCAATTCTTTCTACTTTGCAGTGCATGAATGCTCTTACAGTCTGACCCATGGGTGTGTGTAAATTATATTATTAGTTTTATGAGGCAAGTGGACATTGCTAAGAAGCAGAGGATGATGAAAACAGTAGTGTATGGCTCTGAAAATATTTTATTCTTTTTAAAGACAGTTTTGATTGAGAAAAGCTTAAAAGCTGTAATTTTCATGAAGGCTTTATTATTTCTTCTCACACATGTGCACACCATGCACATATTGCACACACTAATATCAGTAGCAGCAGTTGCCTCATGTCACTGCTACCTGCTTTAATGTTGGCAGAAGGAGAAGAAAATGTAGGGCTTGTGGGAGCAAGGACTGATGACACCAGAATATCTTGTCAGCCTTAGGCAACTGCTTATTTCTCTTAGAACTAGACAACCAGACAATGCTGCTTAATGGGTATTTACCTCCTCTGATCATTTTTTAGATGGTAACATAACTTTGTCAACATTTGCTCTATTAGATATGCTGGCAGTCTTCCCACCAGTGTTGGGTGGTTGGGGTTTTTTTGCTGAAGTTCTTTGGGGGAATGTTTTTGGTTGATTGGTTTTTGTTGTTGTTGGGTTTTTTCTTTTTTTAATCTATGTCTATCGTTGAGTTTAGAAATTCAGAAAATACTCCCTGTCCCTTCCAGAATTTGTTTTGTTTTAGTTGTGAAAGCACTGTAAGTCTGGTATAAGAAATCATTGAAACATTGCTTTACTTTAATCACACATGGGAACAACAATGGGGATTTGAAACAATGAAATAATTCTTGCAGAAGTTCAAATTAGTCAAGACAGCTTTGTACTACATTTAAAAGGACTCCAACCTCTTAGGCCTTATAGTAATGGAACATTTGATTCAAAGTTACTGAACTTAAGCTTTTGTTTTATCAGAAGCTTATAGTGTAGGCATGGCTTAAATGATGAAAGGTAGATAAAGACACCTTTGCTCATGTGCTTACATAAAAAATACACCTAAAAAGGAACATGAGCTGACAAATCAAGGCTAAAGAAAAAAAATTGCATCAGATTGGCATTGGATGGAAAGAAAAACACAAGCTATAAATTTAATGGCATAGAAATGTGTATGTGTTTGAGCCTTGAACAACTGGTTGTAGCAGTTTAAAGAAAAAGATCAAAAGGAATTAAGAGAAAAAGTAGGAAACTTGAACAGAATGCTGAGTGCTTCGTCAATTTATAGTTTGAAATGCTGGAGACATCATTGCAATT